TGTAGTATGTATGGCACGTGGACACAAAAATTTGATGAAACTCGAGGAACGTTAGGAGGGAAGGGAGGGAATCCCTCTCGTCCCCTCCTCATTCCTCACTCTTCCTCGACATCTTCGATTCCGCCGAAGTTCTTTCTCAAACCTGTAAAATCAACTATGTTAATCACAAGCCAGGATTCGTGACGAGGCGCGAGGAATAAGATGAAAGAAGATACTTGATGGTGATGGTGGTGGTGGTGGTTGGGCAAAAGTCAGAACAAACTCGTTGTGCATATATATATTTTCTTTTTTCTTTTCTTTTTTTTTTTTTTTTTTTTCTCTTTTCAAATCCAAATCAATATCACACACGCTTTATTGTTTCTTTCTTTTCTCTTATCTTATCCAATTTTTTGTTTGACGGTCAACGGAAAGACAAAGAAGAAGAGACGTATAAAGAGAGAAAGAGAAAGAAATAAAGAAAGAAGAAATAAAAAAAAAAAGCTTTCACAGCTGATCGTAATGAAGCACGACGATCTCGAGCTTCGATCCTGGATGTTTGATACGTATGTGCTTGTAAACGTTGTTGGACTGCTTGCTCCTCATCCCGCAATACGGGCACTGAAATCTCGGCGGGCTGCCACACTCGAACTTACAATGGCGCAACATGTGATGCAAATGCCGGTAGCTCCTCGCGCACTTTGGACAAGTATACCTGATTCATCATCATCAATCGTGATTACACGAAATATTCGCCCTGATATTCGGAATAGATTTTTAGGGCGGCACGAATTAGGTTGGACGAATTTTCATCCGGGATTCGGATTTTCGAAACTAGGCGGAGAAAGGGAGGGAAACTGACCTATCGTTGTCGTTGCTCCCCTGCTTGCTCCCTAGACGACGATAACATTGTTGACGTTCCAATTGCCGGCACTGATCCGCGCGGTAATGGAAGCTCGATGACGACGGATAGTAAATCGTGCCTGAAACCACAAATTGAGAGAGTATCGTGATGAAACTTGTCATTTCCTTTTTCTCTTTTGTTTAATTTTTCTTTTTTCGTACGTAAAAGGAAGGGAATAAAGGAGGAAAGGGGGAGATTCAAAAACAAGAAGATTCGATAGATACTAATGGACGTTCAGCTGCGCGTTTTAATAGGTCGAGTGTTGGAGTTGCGTTTCCGAGATTCGAAAAAATTCGTTTCGATTTCTCGAACAAACGTACGTTTATTGTGTACACACATTCTTGTTTCGGGTGATGTTACAAATTCTTCGGTGTTTAAGAAAAAAAAGTTGGGAGGGAGAGGGGGGAGGAGACGAAGAAAATTTAAAATTTTTTTTCGCTCGTTACAGAATGTATGTTCAGATGTATTTCTTTCTTCGTCTTACCGATGGTGATATTAATATCGTCCAGTCGTTCCCTTTAAATTTATTTCGAAAATTTTTTTTTTTACTATTATTATTATTAATCTTTCGCTGAACGAAAAATGAATCTAGAGAACGAAATGGCCAAATGGACGCTTCGTCGAAAAGACGTTTGAAATTAAATTAAATGAGAAATAATTTCAATTTCGAAATCGTTTATTCCGTTTATTTCGTTAATTTCTTCGATCTCGTTTCGCGTAAAAATATACCGTTCACTGGTGGAAATAAGTCTCGAGGGATGGTTAAGGGGCAAAAAGAGGAATTAGGATCGCCTATCTCCACTTTAGACAATCCTTTGCTGACAATCTTACTACACACTGCTATAACTATGATTTGAATTAATATACAAATATCACGTTAGAAACAAAAATAAACGCGCGAAAATAGGTTTCCTCCCGTTAACGACCAATCAGACTTCTTTCCAGTTCGCCAGTGAACGGTACGTAACGTACGTTTTGTAAAAAAAAGAAAAGAAAAAAAATAATAAATAAATAAATAAATCGCAAGGTACAAACAAACAAGAAAGACAAGGACCGACGACAAATCAAAACTGCATAAGTTTAACCAGAGATATACTCGTGAAATAAAAAAAAAAAAAAGGATGACGATATCCGCTAAAACGAAGAAAAAGGGAGGAGAAGAAAAAAAAAAAAAAGAAAAGAAAAAATTACAAAATAAACACTTTACATGATCACGATGAATATTTCATCGAACGCAACGAGCACACAACGATCGAAACGTTCTTCAATTCTTCCTCGCGTAAAACTTTCTATTCGTGGCGACGTCAACGAGAAACACGAGCATTCCACGATGCTTCGTCCTAATGTGCCTGTACACGTTCGAGATCTCTTTCGAGCGCATCTCGCAGTAGGGACACTTAAACCTCGGTCCTTGGCCACACCCGTACCTCACGTGCCTTCGAAGATTCGTCACCCTGGTGAATCCGCTGGGGCAATTGGGGCAGCAGAATTTCTTCGACTCGTTCGAGCGATGGCTCGACTCGTGATAACCACCTCGGTCAACTGAAACAGAAAACGCAAGGTACTCGCGCGCAATCTATCAGCCAAATGCGTCTATCGTCGTAGGATAAAAAAAAAAAAAAAAAAAAAAAAAAAAAAAAAAAAGAAAAAAAGAAAAAAAAATGATCGACCACGGCATTTTTTCAATTGCGTGCAACAACTTATTATACGAGATACGTATAATTCGATCGACGATAATAGGCGCGCGAACACGCGAAAAACGTTCGAAGGAAAAAAAAAATTGGAAAATAAAATCTTGTAAAATTTTTCTCGCGTCAATACGCACACTTTTTTTTTTCTAAATTTTCTCACTTGCCGTATAAATATATATATATATATATATACATGTTGAATGTTCCGCCTGGAACATCGATCGCGTCGGATAACAGACGGATGGAAACTGACACTGACTGAAGAAAATTGCGAGAAAAGCGTGGATAGAATAAAACGGTTATAAATACACGATTGAGAGGTGAACATTCAGTTTTATTTGATCCAACTTGCTCACTCGCGTACAACCAGTCTTTCCGTCATATACACCCAAGCATCGTATGGATGCATCGTATATATATTTACATTTATCGATAAGAAAAAAACACGATCGAACGCGAATCGATCGTTTCATTGGCCATTCGATATCGAAGTGGCTTCCTTTCCTTTGAAACAAGAGAAATATTTTAAATATTCGATCTTTAAAAATTAATATCACGTACTATCGATAGTCTATTCGAGACTTTTAATTTAAACTTCTGACTAAATTTCGACTCGACGTGACGCGATGAATAAATAACAAAAATTGAAGAAGAAGAAGATCTAGTCAGATTTCGTCCTATCTCGATTACCTAAAAAAAAAAGAGAGAGAGGGCGCTTCGATTCCTCGCCTTTCTTTAGTTCCAATATGGCCGCCTACGATCAAGACGCGAAACGAAGTGTATAAGAAAAAATATTCGGTATCGGGTAACAGTGTTGGTTCATTGGTTCATCATTTGGAAGCTCAACGAGTTAGGTGGCGAGCCGTGAATGTCGATAACGTAAACTTTCGAATTCGCGTGTTTCCTTCTGATATGCGTGTAAATGTCGGACGTCTTTTTACTTCTGTGCTGGCAATAAGGGCACAGAAATCGTGGCTCTTGTCTGCACTCGTATTTCAAATGACGGGTAAGACTCGCTTTCTGGCCGAAGCTACTCGTGCAATTCGGACACGGGAACCTTGTCTTTGCCTTGGTAAACGGCTGTTCGATTTGAACGAAACAGAAGCCAGCAGAACCTAGAAGGAGAAAAATCGGTCGTTAAGATCAACAACATTTCCTATTTCTTTTCGAGCCGAAAAAAAATTGGTGAAAAAAGATATAATTTCTAACAACGAAGAACGATTTCTTATCGTTATCTAAATAATTTTTTTTTATAACGAGTGATTCACAATCGAGGACAATTTGAAAATTAATAATACCTTTTAATCATCTTTTTCAAAGGAAAAAAAAATCATTCTCTTCCGCTTGAACAAACATCGACTTTCTTCTCGTCTCGAGCATATTTTTTTCGAAAACAAACTGTCTTTCTCTGATCTCAAATAGAAGAAAAAAAAAAAA